TCTACCAACGAGACTACGCTACAAGGTGCAGCAGCAGCGTCTAGCAGTAATAGTAGCGCCAGCAGGCTGGGCGAAGCGCCATTTCTGTCTTCAACCACGAGATCCATGTCTTATGCGGGCACCAGTGAACAGCAACAGAAAGAGAACAATCGCGAATCGACATACGAAAAGACTCTCAACGAGGTTCGGAGACTGCGCAGCACCCGGCTTGACCGTCATCTGTCCACGAGTGTTCGCCAGGCACGATCCTCTCGCGTTATGGACGCAGATGGCAAAGGTCCGCGCCCAAGCTCGTCTGGTGCTGACGACGAGGCGAATCGACTCGACTTGCAAGGCTCGACTGATTTGATGTTTGGGCAAAACGACGCCATCACGCTCGACGATATTCCTCGAATCGTCGCCGTGGAGCAGTCTCGAGAACAGCAGGAGAAGCGCGAACAAGATGCCCGCCGAGATCTGTTCCGCAATGCTGGTCCGGATGGGATTCGCCCTCCTTGCCATCAACGAACGCAGTCAGCCGGTAGAGACACCGATATGCGATCGGCCGAGGCCCTACCGATGCGCATGGTTCGCAAGTTCTTTCCCGAGCTCTCTGGCCTCGAGTCCTTCAACGTTCGTCACCTGGCCGTGTTGACCATGCATCCGCTGCTTGAGCAGGAGTTTAGCCTGGACGAGCTCTTGACGTTCATCGAGTCTCGGAAGCAACCGACCTTTTGGAAAAACCTGGGCAAAGCGTTCAAGAACGACAAGAGCAAGAACGTCAAGAAGAAGGGCGTGTTTGGCGTTCCACTTGAGATCATTCTCGAACGAGACGGTGCCGACTCGACCGACGGTGTCGGACCCGGCACCTTGCGCATCCCCGCAGTCGTAGACGACATTATCGCTTCCATGCGCAAGATGGATCTGTCGGTCGAGGGTGTGTTCCGTAAAAATGGCAACATCAAGAAGCAGCAGGAGATGGTGGAGAAGATCAATCAGGAGGGTTGTGACGTTGTGAATTTCATGGAGCAGCCAGTTGTGCAGCTGGCGGCGCTCCTCAAGCGTTATCTTCGCGATCTCCCTGACCCCTTGATGACGCACAAGCTGTACAGACTCTGGACCAGTGCGGCGAAACTTCCCGATGCCGAACGGAGAAAGCAGTGCCTGCATCTGACGTGCTGTCTTTTGCCACGGAGCCACCGAGACTGTCTCGAGATCCTGTTTACTTTTCTCAAGTGGGCTGGTTCTTTCCACCAACTTGACGAAGAGGTGGGATCCAAGATGGACATTCGCAATCTCGCCACTGTCATTGCTCCCAACATTTTAACCAATGCGACTAAAGCGCCAGCTCTCGATGGCGAAGCCATTTACGTCATTGACGCGGTAGAGATACTCATTAACAATATTGAAGAGATGTGTCAAGTGAGTGCCTTATCTGGGAATATGCACGCGTCCTTCGCGGCAAAATATTATACTATGCAAGAAAGAGACAGGAGGGAACACTAACACTGCGTACAGGTACCCGATGAGTTGTTGACCCTGCTCCATGACCCCTACATCTTTAGCAACAATAGCAACAGCGGCGAAGTTACCACCAAGGAGATCCTCAAGCGATACCAGGACCGCCGAGGCGGCCAAGCACCCGCAGGCGAAACAAGCGAAGCGTACAACCGGCCCGATGTATCGAGTCGATCCCCTCCCAAGCGCGTGGAAACAGACCCAGCGGTGTGGCAAGGCGAGCGCACAGTACGACGTGTCCAAGATGGGGCGTCATCTCACTCCATTCATCACGAGCAAGGCAACTCGCCTCAAAAACGCGCGCCCGGGTCGGCCGAGCAACCTCCCTCAAGTCCGTACAACCCGCGCTTTAACCACTCGGATGGCCACTTGAGTAGCTCGGATGGACAGCGCGGGGAGTGGCGCAACTCTGCGTGGGGTCGGCGAGGGGGTGGATTAGGTGTCGGGGGGGATTCGTGAGCGTTCTGGGGTATTTTCATTTCTACAGTGGCATTCTTTTACTCTTCTTCCCCTCTTGTTCGTCTTCTTCTTTTTGTAAAGGCTTCTTTTTAATGTCTTTTGATTCACCCTTTTCTTTGACTTGGCTGCTCCTCTTGATGAGAGCCCCGGGTCCGCCGGGTCAGGGACCAGATTTCTGATTTCATCCATGATATCTGATCTACACACCTCACACAAAGCCCTCCTTTTTATTTTGTTTTCTTGATTGGTTTTTTTCCTTTCCGGTTTGTCGAAAAAGAAATGCGCTGCGTGCGTGCGTGCGGGCGATGGATTCGTCTTATTTGAAAGGGGGGGTTGAAACTTGAGGCGATGGGTTGGAGCTTTTGATCAAGCCAAGATGCATTAGGCACGGCGTTTGAGTTCTTTTTTTTTTGTATTTGAGGGTAGGATGAGATGGGATGGGATGGTGAGGGAAGACAAGAGGGTGACACTAAGAAGAAGATAAAGATAAGAAATCAGAGCAACGCAAAGCGATGCAAAGTAGATATACATCAGACCATGGTATTAGCTGGTATTTCATGTGTGCGTCTCTTGGTTGTGAGCGGCTGTGATACTGGATAGATTCATCGTTTGTGTGGCGAAGAAGTGTTTACTTGGCCGAGTTGTCATGTCATGCGGGAAGTCACAGACTCACAAGGCGTGATAGGGGCCATCTGTGTTGAGCATGTATGCTTGGTTCAGCGCCGGAGTGACGTGCTTGTGCTTCTGCGTGTGTAATTATTGAAAAGTAGGACGTGAATTTGTTAATTAGGTATAGTACAAGTTCTAGACCGCATCTAGGTTTGAAGAATACCTCGACGCCCCCAAGTTGCAGATCCAAATTCCAGCCGCGGATGCTCGCCCATGACACTATTTACCAGCTAGGATCCTCATATCCCTCATTATCATACACATACCGCACCCGAGACGCTCCTCACTGTTCAGGCAGAACCCCTACTTGTCTTCGTCCCAGTCATCCACCCTATTCCGGGTGCTTTCGATACATATTCTCTTCATCTCCATCCTCCGCCCTATTTCCACCCTCCTTCACGTTGGTTTCATGCCCTCTTCCTCCACCCCACTCAACCACTCTTCTCCTGCTCCAAAAACCAGCCCACCCCCCTATCCACCCCCTCCTGCAACGTCCACAACGGCTCATACCCAAGCACACTCTTCGCCTTGGTAATATTATAATACCGCGTCATCGTCGCCATCACAGCCCTCACACGCGTAAACGTAGGCGGCTTCCCCACCAGCCCAAACGCAAACCCACTCAGCGACCCCAACACCAAACTCATCCCCTTACTCAACGTCCACACGCCCTGCAAGCCATTCCCCTCCCCCTTTCCGTCGTTTCCGTTTTTGCTCTTCTGAGGCCACTCATGCCCCGCAGCCTTCCACACCGCCCGCGCAAAATCCCAAAAATAACACGGCGAGTCATTCGTTATGATAAACACCTCCCCATCAACCTTCTCATGGTCCAGCGGCGCGGTACTAGCCCGCGCCGTAACCAGGAGAGCCTGCGCAGCCAAAAGATGCGCATGCGCCACATTCCCCACGTATGTAAAGTCAAAGATATTCGTATTGTCTCCGAGTTGGATATTCGTTTTCCCGGTGCGGTATGCTTTTAGAAACCCGGCGAGGGTCTGTACGTCGCCTTCCCCGAAAATACCCGCTGGGCGAAGCGCAGTCGTCAGGAGGGCTTTGTTCTGCTGCTGCTGCTGCTGCTGCTGCTGCTGCTGGGATTTCTTTTCGAGGTCACCAGCTGGCGCGGGCGCGGCGACGCGGTTGGCCTGGAGGACGAGTTCCTCTGCGGCGGCTTTCGTCTCGGAGTAGTATTCCTTTTGCAGGGCGCCGCGGATGACGGGCCAGCGCTCGTCTGCGTTGCGGAGATCGGTTTCGTTGTCGGAGATGACGCTTGCGGAGGAGGTGTATACGAGGGCTTTGACGGAGGGGGTAGCTTGGCAGGCTTGGAGGACGGAGGCGGTGCCTTCGACGTTGACGCGGTGGAAGAGCGCTTTGGAGACGCTGGTGTCGCTGCTGGCGGCGGGGCTGGCGGTGTGGATGACCACGTCGGGGGAGAGCTTTTCGAAGAGGGAGGCTAGTTTGGGGATATCGGTGATGTCGCACTCGTGGTAGGTAGCGCTTGGGTTGCGGTTCTTGTCGCAGCGGAGGTCGATGGACGAGACGGCTTCGGTGGTCCAGTCGGAGAGGGCTTGGTTGATGATGTGGTGGCCGAGGAAGCCGTTGCCGCCTATGACGAGGACGCGACCGAGCATGCCGCGGGAGGTGGGAGGGGCCATGATGATGTTGCTGGGATGATGTAAGTTGGAGGTGTGTTTTTGAAGACTTGTGCTTCGTGTTTTACCCCCTGATGAATGACATGCCGTTGTTCCTGTCTCAATGGAGTTAGCTGATGTATGGTTGGTCGGCTGAGAATAGAAGTGGGTCTGTTTGTAATTAGACGTCAGACAAGGCGTTTGTGCCGGCCGGCCACATGGCGGCAACGAAGCATTCACACTCACTACCCTGTAGGAAATTGATGCATCGGCAGCCGGCTCAGGGCTGATGAAACGAGTCTGTCTACATCAATAGGCCTCAGAGCTGTTATATATACGTCCAGTATAAGCTTTTACACAAAGGCGATGACTTTGCGGCAATAATGAGAGAGACTGGAAAAGAATGAACCAAATTGAATGACAGATACGTACATCAGTTCTTTTTAGCTACACTTCTCTAGCTCACCCCCACGGACATCAGACCACTGCACACAAAGAGAAAAAGAACGGACATTCAAAAACTGAAGAAGCGTCAAAGACTCAAAGGTATGTCTGCATTTTGAACGAATCTCAACACAAAAGGGATAAATATGCGAGAGACTGGAAAAGAATTAAAAAAAAAAAAAGAAAAAGAGATACTCTGTACAACAGAGAAGATGCATGCACTCCTCCGGCCCTAGAAAAGGATCAGGTACTCGAAGTTGAGTCCAAAAAAGATAATCCATTCCATAATACATCTGCTAGTCATGACCGAGACAGGGGTCGAACCTGCGACCTTCTGATTCGTAGTCAGACGCTCTGCCATTGAGCCACACGGCCGAAGAACAGAATGTATTACGGATGGTTTGACCGAGACAGGGGTCGAACCTGCGACCTTCTGATAACGGATGGATGCCAGATTACTCTGTCAAATCGTAGTCAGACGCTCTGCCATTGAGCCACACGGCCTTTGTTGAAGTAACCTGACACTAATTATTAATATGAAGGTCAACAGCTATTGCCCTGCTTGTTAACGCGTTGTCGTTCTACTGTCCCTGCTCGATGAAGCTCAGAGTCTTTCTTGACTCCAGTGCGTGACAAGTACTATGCGTAAACGCGACAGCTCAACTAATCATTGCAGCGACTTGTTGATGGAACTTTTTTTTCTACTGCATAGTTTTGCGGAATTTGTGTCGCGATATCATGTCGTGTTACCTACATAGCACAGGTAATCCATTGCTCACGGGACTTATTCCGTCACACTTCTCTCTAAGAATGGCACATACAAAGAGGGAAAGCTGTAATGTCCCTAACTTGCCATCGTCTACAGATGACTATAGACCTCAACATTTCATACGGCTATCTTGCTTACAAAAAAACGACGAAAAGAAGACCTCTTACATCCCCCCAAAGATAATTGTACGCTGCACAAAAAACATCCTACGAAGCCGCCAAGTCCCCACCAGTTTGCTTCCACTTCTGCGCCATGGCCATGATATTGTACAGATTCTTGGCCTGCTCATCATCCGCAGGGAATATATAGTCAAAGTACTCCTCGTAAGAATCATCCTCCAGACGCCGTCTCTTCTTAGTCCGCCGCGGCATCTGCTTCTGCACGCTCTCCTGGTCCGCCTCGGACCCGTGCTCGCGCTCAAACGACAGCCACGCGTTGAGAAGAGACACGCGCTCTTCCTTGAGATCCTTGTCGCGCATGCTCTTGTGCGCACGTTCGAATATCTTGCGTGCACGAGCCTTGGCTTCCTCGCTGAGGGGCAGCTCCTCGTCTTCTGCTGCTTCTGCGCCTTGGTTGTCGTCGTCGCCTTCTTCGGGGATGTTGATTTCGAAATGCGCGTAGCTGATCCAGACCTTGACGTGGTCCGTCCTCTCCAGGAGTCGCTCGTATAGCTCGCGCGTTCTATCGTACTCGCCTTCTTCTTCCTCAAAGTCAATGTAGGCTTTCCAGAGCAGCTCGGGCATGTCCAGCTGCGGTTGGTTGACTGCTAGCTCAAAGATGGCCCTGGTGCGGTCTAGATCGTCCAGACCGCGTTCCAGCTCTGCGAACTTGATCCAGGTCTGGCAGTTGGCCGGGCTATATTCAATGTGCTTCTCGTAGAGGGTGCGGCAGCGCACGAATTCGAACAGCTTGCGCTCAAGGTCGATGTAGCCGTTGAAAATCTTGTCCTTGGGACACATGCCTATTGCACGGCCCAGCAGCTTCCGCGCCGCGGTGAGCTGACCCTGTCGAACCTCAAATTGGGCGGCCAGGAGCCAGAACTTGGCAAAGGTAAACTTCTTGTGCGGTATCAGGCCCAGACACGTGCTGTAAATTTGCCGTGTCCGCTCCACGTCTTTGCCCTCCAGCTCTTCCCAAATGGCGTAGAATATCCAGATGTAGATGTATCGTCGCCAGTGCCGCTTTTCTTGCGTCGGGGGTATCTGGGCCACGGCTCTCTCGTACACGTCTCGAACTCGATCCGCGTCTCTGCCAGACTCCTCGAGACCGGCGTAGTCGAACCAGGCGTCGTAGTTTTTCGGGTTCTCCTTGACTTGTTCTTCGTAATATCGTCTTCGCTTCGAAAGAACAACGTCCTCCACTCCGTCCTTGTCGCCAAACTGTTTCTCAAATGTCGTGTAGGCCTTGTGCAGCAGCATCGACTTGGACCGCGGCAGCCGATCAAGCGCGTACTTGTAAATGGCGCGGGCTCGCTCGTACTCCTTCAACTTAGACTCGAACCGCGCGTAGGCGATGAAGAGCCTCTCATCCACAAAGTCATCACCCAAAGCCTCCACAGCGCTTCCAAACACTTGACGCACCAGCTCACTCGTGCCGTACTCCTCTTCAAACTTGGCCCATTTGATCCAGTTGCGAGGTTCTGGGTGCACAACGGTGAAGTCCTGAAATATGGCACGCGCTCTGTCGAACTCGCCATATCTCTTCTCCAGCTTGATGTATGCACCCCAAGCCGCCTCGTCGGGCTGCCACTGCATCCACCGATCGAATACCTGTCGGGTACCGGGGATATTGCCGAGCATCTCCTCCATGTACACATATTTGTACCATAGCTTATCAACTCGAGGCAGGATGGTCACAGCCCGATCGAGCAGATTTCGCGCATGGTTAATGTTTCTCGACTTCATCTCCGCCTCGATATAGCGAATCCATAGGACGACATTGTGAGGGAGGACATCGATGGCGCGCTCGAAGACGGATCGAGCGCGGGCAAATTCCTTTTGTTCCAGCTCCCATTGCGCATATTGAGTCCAATTCTTCAGATTGACGCGATTTCGGCGCACGTAGTCTTCGAATCCCTTCCGTTTCCTGCCCTGGTATTCGTGGAGCTCCTCAAGGTCGGAGAATTTTTGAGTTGGCGCCTCTATGCCGACTTCTTGGCGGTCGACTGCCTCGCGAAGAAGTTGCTCGGCACTGATCTGAACAGGCGCGGCGCCCTTGTTCTTGACCCTCGGAGGGCCTCGAGACGTCTCCATGTTGGCACGAGCACAGCTGTGTTCCTGGCCTAATTGCCTCCTGCCAGAATTTCGGGGTAGACGTTGATGAAAGGCAGCTAGGATAGCTCTGCGCCAGTGGTAGAGCGCGCCTGGGTAAGGCACAGGAATAAATGGCTCGAACGATACGCAAGAATGGAGAGATGAAGGGTGTACGATGGAAGCTCAGAGTTTGTCTCTGCTTCGCGGCTCGGTGGAGTGCACGGACCACCCACTCAAGCACCTGCCACCGACATCACTCGTCGCAGTGGTCGCACTCCGTAGACTTGGATCATCAGAAAAAACCGAACAAGAATTTGTTTGCGCAATCCATTCTTTCCCACCTCACACAGAGCGACGAGGAATACCACAGGCTCGAAATTCCGACGCTCTCAGAAGAACACGCCATCGCTTGGCTCACCTTCAGACGCCGCCGCCATGTCTACGGTCGCGGACGAGCTGCTCAACGACTTTGGAAGTTCCGGAGACGAAGCAGAGGAGCAGGAGAATGGCGGATTAATACGCGATGAAGCGCACAAGAATGGAGACTTTGACGCCATGGATATCGACGGCGAGAATGAAGACGAGTCCGATGATGCCGCCGAAGGGGGTGAAATGAAGGATGCCGAGGACACAGAGGCGACCAAGGCAAAAGTCGAGAAGATGCAGCTCGGCGCAGTCAAGGATGTTCGCAGCGTGGCCAGCTTGATGGCAACTTTGGAGCCGATATTAGAGGTTAGTCATTCTCCCGATGGGTTTCGTCCATTCTATCAGTACAATATTCGTTTACAGTCGAACTTTTAAGAGTATTAGCCCTGACCGGTGGGAACCGACCGATCGTTATAGAAAATTGCGCACTACCGATCGCAAGCATCTACGCAGACGACGACAAACGTCGGAAACATTGAAGATCACCCCGAGTATCACCTCTTGACACAGTCTAACAGTCTTTCGACCATGATTGATGGAGAAGTCGCCCTCGTGCACAAGTTTATCCGCGATCACTACTCGACACGATTTCCCGAGCTCGAGCGACTCGTCACGACACCCCTAGAATACGCCAAGGTGGTGTCCATTATTGGCAATGGACCCATGGACTCGGAGAACATCAAAGCCCTGCAGACCTCTACCGACAACCCGATGAATATGGGTCTCAAGGCCGTCTTGGACGGGCCCTCGCTCATGGTCGTCACAGTAGAAGCCACAACATCCAAGGGCCATGAGCTCAGCGCAGAGGAGCTCATCAGAGTGCGACAGGCTTCTGCCATGATGGTGGCCTTACACAAAGCCAAGCAAACCTTGACGGAATACGTGCAGTCACGCATGAACATCTTTGCGCCGAACCTGACCGCACTCATTGGATCGCTGACGGCCGCGCAGCTATTAAACGCAGCCGGTGGCCTGACGGGTTTATCCAAAACGCCCGCCTGCAACCTCCCATCGTGGGGATCCAAGAAGAGACAGGCTGGTCTGGCCACCAATGTCGGTGTCCGACAACAGGGATATCTCTACAACTCGGAGATGATCCGCGGCATTCCAAACGATCTAAAGAAACAAGCCATGAGAATCGTCGCAGCTAAGCTCGTCCTAGCCGCACGAGTCGATCGCATCCACTCCAAGCCCGACGGCACTACCGGAGACCAACTCAAGTCGCAGTGTCTAGAGCGCCTGGAAAAACTCACTGAGCCACCCCCCAACAAAGGCCAACGTGCCCTCCCTGTCCCCGGCGACAAACCCTCCCGAAAGCGCGGAGGCCGACGTGTCCGAAAAGCCAAAGAAGCCGTCGCCATGACAGATCTACGCAAAGCCCAAAACAGAGTCGCGTTTGGCAAGGAAGAAAAAGAAGTCGGCTACGGAAACGGCGAGGGCACGGTCGGCATGGGCATGATAGGCCAACAAAACGACGGCCGTATCCGCAACCTCCAGATCGATCAGCGCACCCGAGCAAAACTCAGTGCCAAGAGCAAAGGCTGGGGAGGAGCTAGCTCTATCGGCGGCTCTGCCTCTTCGATTGGGGGTTTCGGCCAAACGCCCGGCAGTATGGATCTTGGCGGGAAGGGTCTCCGCGCCTCGGGAGTAGGCACCACGCTTGGTTCTGCCACGGGTACAGGCGCAGGTACCGCCTCTTCTCTGGCGTTTACACCAGTGCAGGGCCTGGAGCTCGTGGATCCCAAAGTCCAGGCTGAGCTGAGCAAGAAGCGCAAGGCGGAGGAGGATCGATGGTTCAAGGGAGGCACGTTTACGCAGGTGGGTGGGAGGGGAGGCGCGGGGGCGTCTTCTGTGAATGGGGGGTTCAAGGTGCCGCAGCTGCCGGCGGCGAAGAGGGTTGATACGGGGGCGACGAAGATGGCGCCTCC